TGCCATAGACAATACAAATTTGGAGCCAATTGGCTACTTAATCAGGGAGAGGGTTAATGTATGTGTAAGTTACCAGTAACAACTTTACAGTTAACCGTGTCTGTTAATATTATTAGGTCCAGAGCCAAAACCCAACATGCCGGGGGAAAACAGAACATTCCGAGTGTGGCTGGACCCAAACCAGTACCAAGTGGACATGGCCAGAACAATGGACGGTGCAGAGGTGTGTGGACCTTCTACATTAGCCTTCATTGTTACTCCCAGTACGGAAGTACAGTATTGTTTTCACCAGTGATGGTGTAATGTTTGTGGTGTAATGGACAGATGCGGTGAGTTGGAAGGATAATGTACATGTAATAGTGGAGTTACATGAAACAAGTGCAGGGCTGGCAATACTGGGTGCATGTGCACCTTAGTGCACCCAAATTTGGAGCTGTGCACCCAATTTTTTTCTGTGGGTGCACCGGTGCACCCAAATATTTTTGAAGGTATTTTTGTACATATTGAATATACAGGATATTCTTGGTATCCCATCATCAGAAAAATAATAAAATCTTTGTTGTAGTACTTGATTTGCAAGATTTTGAAGTTAGCTCCCATATCACATTCAAGCTCAGAAGAGGAGCAGTAAGATCTGTAGTTAGGTTTTGTTTTATATGGTGCACCCAAAAAGTTTTTTGTGCACCTATTTTTTTTATATAGTCAATACAATACAGTCTAAAAGGCTTGAGCAAAATGGTGGGAGTAAAGAGGTCATGAACAGTATGAATAGAGAGGGTAGAGAGTCATGAATTGGTGGAAGCTATTAATAGCTTTTCTTTGCATCCTTCCAACAGGATGTGTATGAAACGTTCAACATCATCATGAGAAGAAAACCCAAGGAGAACAACTTCAAGGTAGTGTCAACTTTTTCTTTGTTTTCTTGCAAGATTTTGATTACTCTTGTACATAGTATACACCCTAGTGACTTCACACTGATCCTGTCCCTGAACTTCCATTCACACTGACTATCCTCCTAGTGACTTCACACTGGTCCTGTCCCTGAACTTACATTCACACTGACTATCCTCCTAGTGACTTCACACTGGTCCTGTCCCTGGTGCTGAACTTCCATTCACACTGACTATCCTCCTAGTGACTTCACACTGGTCCTGTCCCTGAACTTCCATTCACACTGACTATCCTCCTAGTGACTTCACACTGGTCCTGTCGCTGAACTTACATTCACACTGACTATCCTCCTGGTGACTTCACACTGGTCCTGTCCCTGGTGCTATATTACAGTTTAAAGGTTAATGTTTAAAGTACATTTTTTTGTACATTGTACATTGTGACAAAATCTCCTTCTTTTGGATCAGTTTCAAAAATGGCATATCATGAGAAGTGTTTTGGAAGAGAATGGAAGCAAGTATTTGTAATAGTGCTACTACTGTATATGAACATGTAAGGGATAGCTGGGTTTCTGTAGATTATGGGTGCGCCAGACATTTTCAGTTCATGTCCACTGTATGTTTTGTATTTATATTATATTATATTATATTATATTATATTCCTTAAATTTTTAAAGTCTAAGGTCAACAAACATCTGTCCTCACTGGCTGTACAGTACCCCAAAACATTTTGAGTGCTTCCCATGAGCCTTGTTTTGCGGTGGCCTATGAAGCAAATAAAAGAAATAAAAAAAAATAAAAAAAATTTGCTACCCCAACTTTGTGTTTACTTGTATGTTTTATCTCATGAGCAAAGGATCCTTATTGGCACATTACATGCTTTCTGTCCAATGTACAAAAGTCTATGTGAATAAAATAAAATAGATAGATAAATAAAGCAACATCTTGCACATTTTGTCCCCAGGCTGTTCTGGAGACCATCCGTGACCTGATGAACACAGAGTGTGTGGTGCCAGACTGGCTCCATGATGTCCTCTTGGGATACGGGGACCCTAGCTCAGCACACTACACCAAGTAAGATTTTTACCTTTGCCAAGAAAGTTATAAAGTTATGTTTTCCATAGCGTTTGCTTGTGTGTGTATGTATGTACATGTATATACATGTATGTAAGTGATTTAGCACGATAACTCAAAAAGCTTTAGATGGAATGAAAGCTCATCTGTGCTAGTAGAATCCATAGTTATAATAGAGTTCAAGCTTGTTCCAACATGAAGAAATAAGTCACCATCAATTTTTCTGACGTCATCACGCTTCCGACTTCCGGAAAGTCATCAAGTGCATCATTCATCTGACAAAGGTTGACGAGTTCGACCGGAATTTTATGGCGATTTATTTCTTTGTGTTGGAACAAGCTTAAATTCTATGATTAAGCTTTAGATGGATTGTGATGAAACTTGGTAGGTGGGTAGGAATCATGCTTCCCAGTACTCTACTCAGGCCACACCAATTTTATTTCTTGGTTAACAAATTTTTCTAGAAAAATAATGGAGCTGGCGGGCGAAAATAAAAATAAAAACAGGCCTAGACATCCTATTATGGCCCAAAATGGCACGATAGGAGCCATGAAGTCAACACACCAGGCTGGTTCAAAATTTAAACAATGAATTTTGAACTTTTAATGATATAATTGCATTTAAAGATGGAATAACTGTAACAACTAGGAAGAAAAGGGCTGTTTTCAACTGTTCAGGGCAAAATATGAGCATTTTGCAGTTGATTCTGAATTTTTATTTTTATTTGCAAATCAGAAAAAAATGAAGCGGGCGAATCCGTTAACCAAGAAATTAAATTGGTGTGGCCTTAGATCATACCAAAAATTGGTTTGTGTGGGGACTGCAGGTGGCCGTAGTGCTGTGTACCTAACCCACATCTAGGTTCAGGTCCGGATTCAAGTCCAGAGGTTAATGTTCAGTTCCGGACTTACGTCCTGGAGGCCTAAACCAATGGCATATACAAAAAATGCATGTTGGCAAACCTTGCAATGTTGTATGGGTGAAACTGTGGTAACAATAACATGGAGGGCGACACTTGAAGATGCCCGGAGGCAATGTTTTCTTCATTTTGCAACACAGATTTTCCAATCTATGGATGGTTTTAGATGGTTTGGAACAAAAAGGGGTTTGTGACATGGTCTTTTTTTATAATACATGATGTAGGTCCGGAACTGGTTCTTGACTTTTTAGTTTTTTTTGGACTTGAACCTAAAGATTTTTGTAAGTCCGTAACTGGTCCATTTAACCGGTACACAGCACTACCTGAGGTGGGTATTTCTAACTCTTCTGGATAATGTACAATGCAAACTTAAACCTTTCACCCCAGGATGGACAACCAGATTGCAGACCTGGACTTCTGTGACACCTTCCTCAGCATCGACCACCTGAAGGCCTGCTTCCCAGACTACCAGGTCAGCGTTCCAAATACCCCTCTTTTGTCTGCACATCTAAGATAGATTTTCAAGTTCCAGATGAAAATTATACAATCTGCAATCTTGCAGAATGAAATGATCAGCCAGGTTTGGTTTTCAATGGTTCTGAGACCGCACGCAATTAAAAACCTGCTGTGCACATATTTTTTGCTGTCTATATCTGAAGAACTGTGAGATGATAAAATGGGAGAGATAATAAAAAATAATAATGCTATGGGTTACAAAGCTATATTTATGTGAATCATTATGTAAAATACAGTACTGTATAACATTGTTGTTAGTAGAATATTCATCAATCAGTGACTGTTTTTAAAAGACAGAAACACGCACCACCAAATTTTCGATGTCAACTGTACATCTTGATCACGGAGTGAGAACAGAAGACTAGGTTGAGGCTTGTGCATGTGCATAATCTTCTGGCCTCCCCCACCTCCTTGTGGAGTACGTAGGTTTGAGAAGGTTATAGTATTGAGGCTTGTGTATTCGCAGAAAGTACTTTAAAATTGCAGAACAAAATTTTGGAATATCTGCAATATTGCAGAGTACATGCAGTGTGCAAAGTACCTGGTTGCCCAGTTGCCCCGGGCAACCAAATTTTACTTGGGGCAACCTATTTTTGAACCCAGGTAGCCCAGTGTGCTACCTGAATTTTAAGAATGCTCCCCCCCTCTCCCACGAAATCATGCCCACTTCGCTTGCACCACTGTATCTGGCAGATGCTTTTTAATTTTAGCTATTAACGGCTATTTCTAGTATCAGTTAAGTTACTTAAGGCTGTTAGAAATATTGTCAAAGGCTTATGTATGTAACATTACTGAATTTGAGGAAAGTAGTAACTTTTATAGGTGGGGCAACCTAAAATTCTGATGGGCAACCTAATTTTTGCCATAGGTTGCCCACTGGGCAACCTGGTTCAAAAAAGTATTTTGTACACTGTACATTGTATTTCTTTCACTGCAGGTCAAGGTCACAACCGATGACCCCTCCAAGCAGCTCCCTCCGTTCAAGGTCACCTTCCCAGAAGTGGCGGCCAAGAAGAGGAAGAGAGAAGATGACAGTGGGGAGGGCGCATCCACGGATGGGGAGGGTAATAAACACATCGTTGTGGAGCCCTACACCATTCCAAACAGGGGGCCGTATCCATACAACCAACCAAAAAAGTAAGGATCGCACTCTTTAATATTGTAGCTCTGGTTCAATAGCCCTTGGGCCACACATTTGTACAATCACAGGGGCTACATTTGTAGTCCACATGTAGTAGTGCAGTCACAGTGTGTTTAATTACATGTACATGTTGTACATGTGCTACATACTCTTTCCCAAATGCTGAGTGCTAAGTCTTTGGCATGAGTTGGGAATTGAACTCACGACCTACCCAATGCAAGGTGAACACTCTACCCACTTGGCCACTGCACTAAAACCACAAGCACAGAAAATCTTTGATACTGTTGTTGACTATACAATTTTTATTTTGTATAGGTCAGGTATTGCACTGAGTGTAAAATGCCACCTACAACCATTACGTTGGTTTTTGCAGGAATACAGTTCCATTCACCAGTACCCAAGTTGAGGCCATCAGAGCTGGAATGCAGCCAGGTCTAACTATGGTAAGGGTAATACATATGTACAATGTACAAGGCATATATGTTGCAAGACTCTTTGATACTTTGGTCATGGTCTTTTTTCCTTACATTGTGGCCATGTATAAATTACATGTTTCTTACATGAGCGCCCAAAATGCTGCCTGGTGTTTTTGATCCTGTATGGCAGCCACCGAAACATCTGCTTGGAGATTACAACTTTTTGTGGTTTATTGTGGAAAAAGTCTCTTTAGTTGGCCACCTGTGGGTGACAGCTATTCTTACAGGACAGACTGCAGCACATAAAACAATACAAATATTTTATACATCAACATACAATGCATTAAGGTACTTTATTTATTTACATCTAGTTGTTTAAAAGAAACAAATGTGTAACATCGCATGTGCTTTACTCATGTGTCCCTAGTGTGCTTTAGTAGGACTTGTTTGAGCTTCTCATGTTACGACACTGTTTGTAATGTAACTCAATGTGGTAGAGATTTCCATGCTGCATTAGTTTTGTTAGGGTGGGTACCTGTATAGAAAATTCAGGTCCAGGTCCAGATCAGGTTTAGAGGATCAGGTCCAGGTTCAGACCTAAACCTGGACCTAAAAAGAAATAAATTGTTGTACAGTAGTATTATATCATATTTTGGTGAAAATTAATGTGATTACATGTATATGGAGACCTATGCCTTGACAATATGTACTATATCGCTCGGTACCAACCTCATGGCCCGCGAACTTTTTTGTCAACCTAATTTAAGCTGAACACAGTTAAGAAAGAGACAAACATACATGTAGATTTAGGCTAATCTAGTTTGATTCAGGGTTTTTTCTTTACCTGCCATGGCCAGATTATTTAAGTTGTGTGTACAATCTACAGAAATGTACATCAAGTCCAATGATCCAGTTTTCCCACCCCTGGTTCTGTATGTTGTTGTTTTTGTATTGTGATGAGTTGCTTGTGTTGACAGGTGGTTGGTCCCCCTGGTACTGGAAAGACAGACGTTGCTGTGCAGATCATCTCCAACATCTATCACAACTTCCCAGAGCAAAGGACTCTCATTGTCACACATTCCAACCAGGTAACTTTTCAAGTTCACATAACAGGGCTCGAAGTACTGGGTGCATGTGCACCTTAGTGCACCCATAATTGTGCACCTAATTTTTTTCTGTGGGTGCACTGGTGCACCCAAATATTTTTGTAGGAATTTTTAATATTAGAAATGCATAATAGTATATTGGATTATTCTTGGTCTCTAAGTACATATATATATATCAGAAAAAAAATAAAATCTTTGCCGTAGTACTCGTTTAAGATTTTGTAGTTAGCTCTCTAGATTCAAGCTCAGAAGAGGAGCAGTAAGACCTGAAATTAGGTTTTTAATATGGTGCACCCAAAAAATTTTTTGTGCACCTAATTTTTTTAGGTGCACCTATTCCCAAAAATGAATTTCGAGCCATGCATATTAAGAAAGGACCTCACTGGACAAAGTTGCTCGAACTGTGTCCCCATTACAAACTTTTCTTCCTGTTGCAGCCTTGTCATGTCATGACGATTTGTCGTGTCATGGAATCAATAAAACATGAGCTTTTGTTGTACTTCTGTAGACTTTTTTGTCCAAGAAGTTTGAAAAAAGGTTAACAGTTTTCAAATGCTACATTGTACTTTAAGTGCACATGTACAAAGTGTAACTCCACACTTATGCAAAATTCTTCCCAGAATTCTGGCTCCAGTTCCCAGAATTCCGGACTCATTTCAGAATTTTGCAGAATTGGGTTAATACCACAATATTTCTTTCATCATTTTTACATGTAACTAAAGTTTCAGATATAAGCCCATCTAGTAAGTTTGCTGAGATATGAGTATTAATCAAAATTAGTCCGGAACTGAATTGGAGGCTGTTCAATGTGTTTTGTAATACTGTGAATTATCCTTAACTTTGTTTAACCTCTGTTGTTTTTTTTCCATGAATGCTGTAGGCTTTAAACCAGTTGTTTGAGAAGATCATGGCCCTGGACATTGATGAGAGACACCTGCTGCGTCTGGGTCACGGTGAGGAGGCTCTGGAGACAGAGAAGGACTTCAGCAGGTGAGGCACTTGTTTGTTTGTTTGTTTCTTTGTTTGTTTGTTTGTTTGTTTGTTTGAGCCTTCATTTATTTATGTTTACCAAAGGAAAATATATTGTTTTTTTGCTCTGTTTCCTCCTCTTCTTCTTCTCCAAACCAATAACGTCATTGACCTGAACCAGACGTCTGTCACCATGGTAACTGGTGTTGGGTTACATCATGTTGCAATTTTTTAGCAGGAGTGATTTAGACTCCTGTATGACCATTATATATGAATGTGTTTGAGTAAGAATTAACAGAGCAGACCATATGTGAAGGTGAACATTATGCATTTGATTTGCAAATGTTACTTTTCTATTTTTTTCTTTTTTTAAATTAAAAATTTTCCTTCATTACTGGTAACTTTCTGAGTGCTAAGCAGAGAAAGTATATATATATATAGTATCTACCATTTTTAAAGACTTTGGTATGACTCGCCCGGGGATCGAACCCATGATCTATGCCAGGTGAACACTCTGCCCACTTGGCCATTGCATGTAAAATGGCACCCACAAAATGTTTTCCCTCAGGTACGGCCGAGTGAACTTTGTGCTGGCGAGAAGGCTGGAGCTGCTGAAGGAGGTGGCCAGGCTACAGGAGAGTCTGGGGGTGCCAGGAGACGTGGCCTACACCTGCGAGACAGCAGGACACTTCTACCTGTACCAGGTCTGTATCTGTATTCTGTATACAGGGCTCGAAATAATTTTTTTTCAGGTACGTGCAAAGTTGCACACTGGCAAAAATTTTAGGTGCAGTTTGAAAGACTTATGCAAAATTATATTTATGTCGGTGAAGGTTAGACATCCAAGATATGTCAAAAAACAGGTACTCAAGCAACTGGATATGATTTTGGAAACGGTCAGATATATAATACATGTAAGTGTTGTCTGTCCTTGGAACTGGGAGTTCCAAATCCCAAGTAATTTTTGCTTCTTCCCTCCCCCTCCTGCTCTAGGTGCAAAATTGTACATTCAAAATATTTTTAGGTGCAAATCTTGAAAATCATGTGCACATTGCACATGGGTATTTCGAGCCCTGGTATAGCTGGTATAACCGCCCTTCAGCATAACACAACAGCTTTGCAGGCACGCGGCATGGTGGCAGCTAGACTATATTACACCGAATGAGGCTGTTACACCCAATCTTTGCACATTTACATGTAATTGCAGGAGTTGTTTGAAGCTTTCTAGCGATGATGCTTGGTGGCAACGAGTTCCATACATGTGTGTGTACCAGTATTACCCACCATGCATTTACATGTACACTGCACATCCACAGTTCAAACCATGAACCAGAATAATATTATTATGATGCCTCTGTACCAGGTGCTGGCCAGGTGGGAGGAGTATCTGAGCAAAGTCAAGAGGCCGGGCCTGAGTGTGGAGCTCATCAAGGAACATTTTCCCTTTGAGAAGTACTTCGCCAATGCTCCTCAGGTACGAAGTGCTCAGGTTTAAGATCATCTAGATCGTATCATCTTTATATTATGTTTACCTTTGCAGAGTTAAAACATCTCCATTTCCTCTTCTCCATTTCCAAATCAATACCGGTAAGGTCAATGACCTGAACCGGATGGCTGTCACCATGGCAACTCTTGTTGCATTACAACATTAATGAAGCAAACCTGGCAGGACAAGCATGGGGGTGGGGGTGGCCACCATACATGACCTTGTACATTGAATATGTGTGAATGTGTTTGAAACCTTGGTCTGAGTTAGAATAAGCAGAGCAGTAGTTTTGTTGGGCTAGACCATGTGAAGGTAAAAAGTATACATTTTGCTCTGCAATGTAGTTGAAACCCATATCATGTACATGTACCATGTATGCAGGAGTTTGTCAGACATGTAGGTACATGTACCATTTACATGTATTACAGAGACTCATTGATGGCCTACGTAAAATTTTTGTTATTATACATGTAGCTTGGCCTAGAATTTATGGGTAATACTGTTTTAACATGGGCAAAATTCTGCCATTGCACAAAATTAAATTCATTGATGTAACTACTTTGTGTATTGAACAAAAATTATTTGAGCAGTACATTGACATGTATTAATTGAATGGACTTTTTTCTTTTCTCTTGTCAGCCAATATTCAAAGGAAAGTCATATGATGAAGACATGGACATTGCAGAGGTATATGTATTCTAAGTTTCACAATCACCCTTTAAGACTTCATTTCTTTTCATGATTGTATTTATTTAGCCAAAAAACTGATATTGTATTGCCACAATGATTATTTCACAAATGAACAAAGGCTCAAACTAACAGAGTAAACAGAAAAATAAATAATGTAACTTGAATGTAGCTCCTATAATACTGCCAATTACGTAGATCAAATTCACGTAACATTAGTTGAAACCATTATTGATAATAAAGATATGATCTATTTCATTCAATTTGTCAATTTGTCACTCTCCATGTTGAAATATTAATTTTTGATCTTGTTTCCATCTGTCACTCAGGGATGCTTCAGACATGTTAAGAAGATGTTCAAGGAGTTGGAGGTGAGTCTGTTTCTTATTTTCCAGTCAGATAAAATAGCTGTGAAGATTCTTGACCACAGGTACTTTTCCTGTCCTTACATGTACATGTACATATTAAGTACATGAATTTTTGGCGATGTCTCAGGGAGGAGCCTAATGGTACAGTATTGTGTGCAGTTTGCAAGAATTCTAGGAATAGTACAGGCATTTTGTCCACAGGAATGGAAAGTCCACAGGCATGTCTCTGACCCACATCTATGCCTGCATCCTTGGAAACCCTTGGGAAGACCTCTCCGGATGGCCCTACTTTCTGTGACCCCGGGGCTCGTTCACTATACACTCAGGGAAGAGTGCACTGTATCTGTACTATGTCAAGTCTTCCTCAAAATCATGAAATGATGGCAGTGCCATGCAAGCAATAACCCTAACAGCAACCACCGTCGCCATGGCAATGTATGTTTTCATTGCCAGTCTTGTTACGTTTGCCACTTACTTCATTGAAGTCAAGTAATGAGACATAAAGATTGGATCGATGGACCCTTCATTGGATGAATGGACCTGTTTTTAATTGGGGTATAACAAAATCAAAGAAAAGAGGGAAAACTAGACAAGAGAATGGACCACAATCATGCTATTTACCACATGTCGCTGGCTGTTGTTGTTGGTCGCTAATTAAATCATTGTGAACTTTCAATAGTTCCTCATTACGTTTGTACTTTTGCATTGTGGTATGGACCTACCAGATGATACTAATGCTATTCTTATATGACAAAGTTATCAAAAATGAACCTTGAATTGTCTTAAAAAATGAGTCTGTACTTTCTACTGTATGCCCAAAGTGATTCTCAGAAGATGATAAAAATTGACATAATGGACTTGATGAATGAATTATTGCATAAATTATGGTAATGTCAATGACAAGTAAAACATTGGCCCTCGTGCAACGTGTAAATAGACTAAGTGGACAAATATATTTCACTATTCACTTGTTCCAGGAGTTCCGTGCCTTCGAGCTGTTGCGCAGTGGCCTGGACAGGTCCAAGTACCTGCTGGTGAAGGAAGCCAAGGTGATTGCCATGACCTGCACACACGCAGCCCTCAAGAGGCATGACCTGGTGGAAGTCGGCTTCAAGGTTAGTGTGGCGGAATGGTTTATTTAGGCCGCACCAATTTAATTAGTTGGTTCTGGGATGTTTTCAGAAAAAATATGAAGTGACAGGGCGAAAAAAAACCCAGGTCTAAGCATCCTATTATAGCCCCAAATGGTAGGATAGGAGCTACTGGATGAAGTCAACACAAAAGGCTGGGTTAATATTTAAACAATGAATTTTGAACTTTTAATCAAACCACTGCATTGATAGATGGAAAAACTGTTAGTAACAACTTGGAAGAAAAGGACTTTCCTCAACTGTTGGGGGCAAAATGTGAGCATATTTCAGTTGATTCAGAACCAGAATCTTTTTTTTTTCAGAAAAAAATGAAGAGGTGAATCCGAGAACCAACAAATTAAATTGGTGTGGCCATATCTATGAGTTACCACATTTGTATAAGGATTGACATAACTGGTGACTATCACATTTTCAAGATGTCAAACCTGAGATCAGAACTGCCTCTCAGTAGTGGGGAAGGGACGAATATTTCAGCTGATTTACTCAATAAAAATTTGCTTCCGAATGTGTGAAAATAACGTTTCAGAGGGTTTGAAACTCTTGTGTCACGATCAGATCTGAAATTTTATGACCTTGCCAGCAAACAAAGCCAGAGTCGGTTGATTTTTCTTAGGGTCAGTTGGGAAACTGCAAAAGTTTTTTCCTAGGCCTTATACAATCATGTACATCGTACATTTTTGGTGCATGATATGGAAAATCCCTTCACTGTGATTGTATCCAAGTACGGAATGATTTAGTTCAATGTTTGCCCTTGCAGTATGATA